TATTATTAAACATTTTTATTAATTATGCAGCAAAACATGATGCTTATGTTGATTATAAAGGCAGAAATATTGCAAAGATGTTTTTGAGACACAGGTCAATCAATTTTATTTATTTAATTTTTATCTTAATCTTTTTTTTTTATGTTTGCGTTTGAATAAAATGTGTTAGTTTTTTTTAAGTGAGCTTTTGCTTTTCAGATATATCAGTTTTACTATGTATAAGTTTTACCTAAATGTCACTTTAAGCCGAATACTAGTATGTTAATAAATATCTAGTCGAATATCATGTGCTGCCATCATTACATTAAATTCAATTTAACTTTATTGTCATTACACATGTACAAGTACAAGGCAACGGAATGCAGTTTAGGTCTAATCAGGAGTGCAGGATATAGGAATAAGTTATGAAGTGAACTTATAAAAAAAATATAGGGGATATTTACAGATGGATGTACTATGAACATTAAATACAGGTTGAACTATGAATAGAGATTTATATGTAAATATATGTACAGGTTGCTATTAATAATCAGGGTGTGCAGATAAAATGAACATAATTACATGTATAGGTAAAAAAAAAAAAGTTAAATGATCAATTAGTCATGACAGCATGTTTTTAGTTCATTGTAACTAAGTTAATCATGTTCTAACTTGATTTTATAAGTTATGCAAGCTGTTTTAAGTCTGACTAATTTAACATAATGTAAGTACAGTAGACTCATAGGGCTAATTTGATAAGCTTTAAACATTAAGGCCACCAGAATTTTTCACAGTGTAACAAGTATATTACATTAAAAATAAATGTTATTTTACTAGCCGAATAAATGAAGCTAGTATATTAATAGACACCAGTTAAACTCTGCTGTTATTTTGGGATTTCCGCCTGGATTTTGCGTACCCAAATTTAAAAGGTTCCCAAATCCACATGCAGAGGTGTAAATGCAAAAATGTGGTCTCATTTTAAAGAAAACCCTTTGAATTTTCATAAAACACTATTGAAAGTGTTTAAAATAACTGTATATGTTGTCTGTGTTATGATAAACATCTAAAAAAGAGGCGCTTTTTGTATTTTTTTTTTTTTTTACAAACTCAAATTTGAAAGTGTACCTTTTTAGGTTCAGTGTGGTCTAGCGTGCTGTAATTAATGTTGGTGGTTCCTGCACATGTCGAAAATCATAGGGAAAAAAAAAAGGTCTCCACCATAATCCATGCAAAAGTTTTTGTATTCCAACTGATGAGAGGTGCTGTACAAGCCACAGAGATCGATACTTGTTTTCATATTTCACTATACTTTTGTTTGATCAAACATAATTCACTGTGTTTGGACCACGTCAGACATATAAAAGGATTACTTATGCACATCACATCAAAAACACAGGAGAAATGGTCCTGAAGCGCACAGCATGAGGTAAGAGATGACAGCTCTCTGTGCTATCTGGGGCTGCTTATTGATCATAAATGTATTGTTTTCACTTCTGCGCCATGGAAACACCGCGATTCATTCAACAACTGTTTAATATGTGAATATAATTCAGTAAAAAGAATGCTAGAACTGTATGAGCACCGGCAAGAGCTTTCATTTGAGCTATAACTTGTACATGTGTCATATGAGAAATATTAAAATAAACCAATGTTCAATACCCAGCTCGGGTCTCCAAAATACTGTGTATTTAAGTCTAAATACCTTTTGTACAGTAGAATAAAAACCAAAGTGATGCATATGTGCATAAAATATAGATTCTACACTTTCAAACGAAACCACTTACAGGGGTCTGGTGCAATGCTAGCCCTTTAAATCTTAAAGCGAACGTTGACGAGGTCACCACCGGGTCCGCATTAACTGGTTAATACCTAAAAGGTACATATTAGTACCTAAAAAGTACAAAAGTGTTCCTCTTAAATTTTTAGGAACTATTTATAAACTTTTAAGGTAACAATATGCACCCTTTAAATACAAATGTGTACCTTTTGAAAAGGTACCACCCCAGTGACAGCTCTCATACCTTTATTTCTGAGAGTGTGTATGTTTGTCAAGTTCCCTGCAGTTCAGCTCGTCCAGCAGGTTTTCATGATTCATTCTCAGACATTTGCCCATCATATTTTTCTCATCTGACATTTCTCATCTTGTCAGCTTTAGGAGTGCACTGAGCAGAAAATCCATACATATCAAACCTGTTTACATTCTGTACAAAACTATAAACATAACATTGATTTGCTGTCAGTTCATCTGCAGTTTGTGATGAGTGATTGTGGTGTGCATGCTTCTATGTTCACACAATCTACACTGTAAAAGCGCCATATAAATAAACTTGACTGACACGCCATCAGTATTCATCGCTTGTGTTTGAGTTTATTTGAAGGTTTCATGGACAGACTTTCTTATTTGTTTTCCTCAGATTTTATGTAGCAAATAAAATAAATAAATACAATTTGAATTAAATTGATTCTTTACATGTCGACACGGTGGCTCGGTGGTTAGCACTGTGGCCTCACAGCAAGAAGGTCACTGGTTAAAGTCCCAGCCGGGTCAGCTGGCATTTCTGTGTGGAGTTTGCATGTTCTCCAAGTGTTGGAGTGGGTTTCCTCCAGGTGCTCCGGTTTCCCCCAAAGTCCAAACACATGTGCTATAGGGGAACTGATGAACTAAGTTGACCATAGTTTGTGTGTGTGTATAGATGGGTGTTTCCCAGTACTGGAATGCAGCTGGAAGGGCATCCACTGTGTAAAACAAATGCTGGAATAGTCCTTCAGGTGCTCCGGTTACCCCCACAGTGCAAACACATGCGCTATAGGGGAATTGATGAACTAAGTTGAACGTAGTCATGCATGAGTATGTATGAGTGCTTCCCAGCACTGGGATGCAGCTAGAAGGGCATCCACTGTGTAAAACAAATGCTGGAATAGTCCTTCAGGTGCTCCGGTTTCCCCCACAGTCCAAACACATGCACTATAGGAGAACTGATGAACTGAGTTGACTTCAGTCTATGTGTGTGTGTTATGTATTTTGGATATGTGTGTGCTGCAGCTGGGCAATTCTTCAACTATGGGCACTTTTAGCTTTGTGAAGTTGAGTAAAATGAACAGTCAAAATTAACATAACCTCATAAGTTTAAACAATTTGTCCATTTTTAAGAATTGTAAGAGGAGAAACGTGGATATGAAGGGAAATTGGTAATATTTAACAATTTTTCCATGGTGAACTGAACAAATGTCATTTCCACCACATCTCAATATACAGCTTTTATTTAAAAAATTACATTGCTCATTTGAGTTCGATCTCATTTATTTTATTGTGCTTTCTGTCCTCCTGTGTCGATATGTATGTACTACAACATATTTCTCATGAAAACTGTGCACACTTGGCGAATAAAAGCACATAAATATCATTCTGATTTCTCATTGTATGTACTACAGCAGTAGTTCTCAAACTCTTTTCATCAAGTACCACCTCGGAAAAAATTGACTCTCCAAGTACCACCATAATGATCAGTATTGAAATAGATTAGCGTAGTAGGCCCAGTAAACCAGCTACAGCTCTGTACATTTCCAAAACGAGGCAGATTAATTCCTGGTATTTTATTGTTTTAATTCCTATTTATTTTTGTCAGCCACTTTATACTTTATAAATAGTTTGAATATTAACACTGTATTTAAAACATAAATAACTAAAAAATAACGAAAACAAACTAAAAACATCAACATTTAAATTAAAATGTGCTTTTAAACATTAAAAATGATAGGTTACTGTTTTTAACAGCTAAAAAAAAAAAATTCTTTACTTAAATGTAAAGTATTAACATGTAATAGCCTATTTATCAACACTTGGAAATGTTGCCTGGACCTCATAAATATAGGCTATATGTCATCCTACTCATATATAAAATCATTTTTGATAGATTTTTAAATATATGTAGCATGTACATATGACATATTTTATTCCTCCACGTACCACTAGAAGGAAGCCCGCATACCACTAGTGGTACACATACCACAGTTTGAGAACCACCATACTACAGTATATACTAAATTCTTCCAGGCGGTGTTTTGTGTCCATCTGGCGGCCAAGAGCAGGAACTGCAGCGGCGTCCCATCAATCTTTGTCGTTTAGTCGGTCTTCAGGCTCATAATTTAGCATTTTTTTGTGAAAAACAGACACTTAATAATAATAATAATAATAATAATATAAATAGTATATGATGTTTCGACTATGTCAAGCCATGTAAGAAAGCAATAAAACACCAAACAAAACACTCTACTTTGTTTGTTTGTTGGTTTGTTTGTTTCCCTGATTGTTCTTGATGCTTTTTTTAGGATGAGTTTTCAAACATTATATCAGAGAAGCAAAACTGGCAGTGGCGCCCCCAGAAAATTTTCTTAGGGGTGGCCATGTATAAGGCCACACCAAATCTTGGGGTGGCACACAAAAAATAATAATAATGAATTGTGTATATATTGTGAATAATGAGTAATGTTATATTTTTGTTTCTGGTAAATGAAATAATAAAGTTTTAAATAATTTGACTAATTACTCTTGAAATATTGCTATTTATTCCTTGAAATAAATTCAGCAAGAACACGTGCAAACCCAATAAAAATCAATATTTAGTTTAACAACACCTTTCAGGCAAGTTTTTTTTTTCCTCAAACTCTTATTGTACAACATACAGTATATGCCATGTCTAAAATTAATGGAGATTAATGAATGAATAATAAAACACAAATGAACAAATTGAACAAAGACATTACTACACACACACACACACACACACACACACACACACACATAATACTATCATCTATCCTTTTTGAGCCACACTATATTAATACATATTCTTCTTTTGATGTACCTTTTTGCAAAATGCACCCACAGAATCATTGAGATTTGTAGCCCTTTTAGATCAACCAGCAAAATAATGGAGTTGCTAAATAAACTAGATTCTGAAAAGCTGATTTCAAAATGCATCTATTTATCTATTTTATTTGGATTTGTGGTTTTCAATCAGATAAAACAACTTTTTCATTTAAAAAATAATAATTTCTTAATAAACAGTGTGCAATCTCAGTGAACCAGCTACGTCAGTGGAGCTGATCAATCCACAATAATTTAGTGGCTGCATTTTATTTATTAATTTATTTATTGAAATATTGTGAATTTACGTAAGTACATTTAAATTAATAATATCAACAATTAAATCATATTGGGGAGGCCACAGAGGTGGCCGGTGTTTACACAAGGGTGGCCCTGGCCACGAGAAGGGTCTGGCTGCAGACCTGGTGCAGTGCAATCTGAGCTGCATCCAATGCTTTTTAATGCGCTCACCTAACCCCACCCCTAACCCTACCCGTCACAGTGACGTCACTCGCTCCATTGAGTGCATTGTGTCTGACATTGCATCACTGAGGGGTGCAATCTCAGCTTCATCCAGATACTATTGCCGGCCACCCTTTGAGGGCACCCCTGAAAACTGGGAGTGATATTTATTTTTTTTTTTGTTTATTCGGATTGTTAAAATATCAGATTTTTATATGCAATAGTTCAATTTCAGAAGTTGTAACGATGCTTTTCCCCCCTGAAAAAAAAATATATTGAGAAATGTCATTATTTAATATGTAATCAAATACATTTTTTTCTTTACTGTCACACAGTCTTAGTTTAAAGTCATATATTGTATGTATCGGCACTGTAAATTGCAGTACAAATCATGGCAATAAACTTACAGTATTTTTTTCTGTTTTATTTGTATTTACAGTATAAATTATTTATTATACAATATATTGTTTCAAACATTTATTAAAAATGTCTATAATGGTCACTTTGTTAAACTGCTGTTGAATTTTCAACGTCAAAAAAGGTTCACAGAGCAGATAAAGGACTGCAAAATAAAAATCAAGTAGTGCAAAAAAATATATATTTGCAATTGTTTAAAAATATACATATTCTCCTCGTGTTTGTGTTGGTTTTCTCCGGGTGCTCCGGTTTCCCCAAGTGTGTGTGTGTGTGTGTGTGTGTGTGTGTGTGTGTGTGTGTGTGTGTGTGTGTATGGATGTTTCCCAGTGATGGGTTGCAGTTGGAAGGGCATCCACTGCGTAAAACATATGTTGGAATAGTTGGCGGTTCATTCCGCTGTGGCGAGCCCGGATTAATAAAGGGACTAAGCTGAAAAGAAAAATGAATGAATGCATGAATGAACAATCAAAAAATATACAGTACATATTTCTTAAGGAGGCTAATAATACTGGCCGTACATTTTTCTTTTAATTAAAAACTGCTTTTATTCAATATTCAATACAAACTGTAGGACATAAAACTTATTAAGTCTGCAGAATTATATATAAAATAACAAAGTTATTATTGTTTTATAGGAAATACTGTGAAACTGTCCTTGGTTTGTTAACAATCACTTGGAATTGAATTGAATTTTCTTAGACAGATTTTAGACAAGCTGTACAAAAGTACAAGTATCCCATACATTTTGAAATAAAATCTGTCAAGGATAAAAACACAATAAAGGCCTGGGTTAGTTTCTATTGTGGTCCGAACTGTTAAATAAAACAAAGTATGGCTTCCAAATACAGATGAAACAAACAATACCTCCACATTTTAAAACAGAAACAAAATAATTCACAAATACATTCCTTCATTCATTCGTTTTTCTTTTTTGTTTATTTCCTCTATTAAAAAACATTATTTTAAACTAATGGGAAGGGCAAAAAACAGCAACTGTAAAGTTTACAGGTGAAAAAATGCAAATCCTTGATGTACTTGAGTGTTAAAAGTGTGCTATCCTACAATACAAATAAAAAAAATCAAATAAAGGAACATGGATTTGCTTGTTTATGAAGACTTAGAAATGGCTTTGAATAAATGTTTAAGTAGTGTGATTTACAGTTGAAGTCAAAATTATTAGCCCCCCTTTGAATTTTTTTTTTCTTTTAAATATTTCCCAAATTGTGTTTAACAGAGCAAGGAAATGTTCACAGTATGTCTGATAATATTTTTCTTCTGGAGAAAGTCTTATTTGTTTTATTCCGGCTAGAATAAAAGCAGTTTTTAATTTTTTAAACACCATTTTAAGGTCAATATTATCAGCCCCTTTAAGCTATATTTGTTTTCAATAGTCTACAGTACAAACCATCGTTATATAATAACTTGCCTAATAACACTAACCTGCCTAGTTAACCTAATTAACCTAGTTAAGCCTTTAAATGTCACTTTAAGCTGTATAGAAGTGTCTTGAAAAATATCTAGTCTAATAATATTTACTGTCATCATGGCAAAGATAAAATAAATCAATTATTAGAGATGAGTTATTAAAACTATTAAGATTAGAAATGTGTTGAAAAAAATCTGCTCTCCTTTAAACAGAAATGAGGGAAAAAATAAACAGGGGCTAAAAATTCAGGGGCTCTTAATTCTGACTTCAACTGTAGGTTAACGTGTGCCCCCATATAATTAAAAACAAAATGGATGTATATGTTGAAATATGGAAGCCATTTAATTACTACACTAACAACAATAATATTGGTCATTTATTACAAAAGGTGTAACTAAGTATAGTGTTTTTATTTGTTTCTGTTTTTGTTTTGTTTTTGTGTGTGTGGGTTAGGGTTAGGTTAGGGTTATAAAAATGTAACTTTTATGTGTAAAGTACATTAATGTTTACTTGGTTTTTGGGCACCTAGCAATACTTGTTTTGCATTTAAATTGTCTCTTGTAAGAGAATTCTGTGCATTTCTATAGGGGAGAAGAGAGTGATGTTCTTTTGTTGGGGTGGGAAACAATTGCGACGAAATAGAATTGTGTTTTTCTGTTACCTGTCTTGCATCATCAAGAACACTAAACACATTGTTCAAAAATGAAAAAAAAAAAAAACTAAGGGTGCTTTCACACCTACACTTTTGTTTCGGAACGTGTCTCGTTTGCCAAGTTAGCGCGGTTCGATTGGCATATGTGAACAGGGCAATCGCGCTCTGTTCCGCGCCAAAGTAATCGCTCCGAGATCGCTTGAATGAGGTGGTCTCGGCTCGATTGAAACGAACCCTGGAGCGGTTTGATTGCAGTGAGAATGCGATCCGATCCGAGCGCGGTTATATCACAGTGTTTTATGGATATGTAATAGGCTTGAATGAAGAGAGAATTATGAGTAGGGCGGGAAGTTTCGCGAGTCTCCGGATGCCCGCAAACGAGTGATGATCTCCCGGTAATCTCGCGTCTCTCTCCGAGTCCTCAAATAGGCATCGTTGCGCACCCTTCTCACTCCTCCCCACCGCATCTCTCCTCAGACACGTCACACGCGCGCACCCTGTCAATCACCACCAAACCACCACCTCTCCTGACAGCTGAGCGGGACGCTGCAAAATAAACCCTGACACTCTGACCAATGTAAGGAGAGTTTACTCGCACGTGACTTGTTTTAGCTCTTTTGGTCCGATTAGAAACTTTGCAGTGTGAAAGCGAACCGCTCCAAGAGCAAAGAGCAACAATGTAACAATTTTAATCTCTGTTTCGGAACAACTGAATCGATTCACAGGTGTGAACGCACCCTAAGAGTACAAGTGGCCCCTGCCCGGCCTCGCCAGTTACTCTGGTCTAGAACCGGCACTGCTTACGGTTACGTGTTTTGCTGTCTCCAGAAATGTAGACCTGAATATGTATCCACAGTGAGCCTGGGTTAAAAAATGGGAATGTTAACTGTAGTTTGATTCCCGCCTCCGGCTTCTGTTTAAAGCTGAAGACAGATTTGTTTCTCCAGTGATGGAGGCGAGCGCAGCGTTTCCAGCGGCTGCAGCTCCTGCCATTAAAGCTTCAGAAAGCGTCGCTCCATCAGAAGCGGAGGCTAAAGCTGCTCCACCGGCTACTGCGAGTCCTGAGAGCAAAGCTGGACTCAAACTCACTCCTGAAACGGCGGCGGCTCCTGCGCTCACCGCTACACCGGTCGACAACACAGCTTTATTTATCAATCTCCTTTTCTCATCCGTCCTTATATTTTCCTCCTCCTCCAACTTCTTTCTCTCGTATTCCTCTCTCCGCTTTCTCTCCTCTTCCTCTATTTGTTTCTGAGCCTCCATGTACATCTCATTGGTGTAAAACTGTCCTCCGTTTTCCTCCAGCATTGAGTCGATCTTCTCCAGCAGCTCACTGACCTGAGATCTGTTTTGTTCATCTGTGTTGTTGAAGACATGGTATCCACCTTTACACTGTTCAGCTAGTGCTCTCATCTCCTCGTTATTTGCCAGAAACTCCTCTATGGGTGTTTTAATCTGATCTCCTCTAGTGAAGAGGATGATGGTGTACCGATTAGCTTCTTCTCCAAAGTTCTCCTGGATCCATTTCACAGTGTTTTTCTCTTCGTTTGTGAGTCTGACGTCCAGTCTGAGCACCAGCAGGAACACGTGAGGACCGGGAGCAGACATGTAGACACATTTCTCGATTTCTTTCTTGAGGTCTTCTTCGCCGATTGACGTGTCACACAGTCCCGGAGTGTCGATGATGGAGATGATTCGACCGCTCACCCCGATTAGCTTCTTCTCCAAAGTTCTCCTGGATCCATTTCACAGTGTTTTTCTCTTCGTTTGTGAGTCTGACGTCCAGTCTGAGCACCAGCAGGAACACGTGAGGACCGGGAGCAGACATGTAGACACATTTCTCGATTTCTTTCTTGAGGTCTTCTTCGCCGATTGACGTGTCACACAGTCCCGGAGTGTCGATGATGGAGATGATTCGACCGCTCACCTCCCGCTGGTGTTTCTGGCATTTCTTGGTCACAGATTTAGCTGATAGTTCTTCCTTAAACACTTTTTGTCTCAGGATGGTGTTTCCTGTGGCGCTCTTTCCGGCTCCGGTTTTACCCACCATCACGATCCTGAGATCAGTGCAATCATCAAGCTTGTTGTGTCTTTTCTGTAGGGACTCTGCATTTGGATCAGACAAATAGGAACAAGTTAATGCCAATAGGGGGGAATATTTAAGGAGTTAAGGAATTCGTGGGAAAGGGAATTACATATCTGTGAGTAAACTACAGCAACTGATATTGTGCTTAAGAACATAGCATAAAAACCAGCATATCCCTGCTGAAAAAAACAGCTTAAACCAGCATGGGCTGGTTTTAGGGGGTTTCCAGCTATTTCCAGCCTGGAAATGCACAAAACCCCTCTAAAACCAGGCTGATCAACCAGCTAAAACCAGCTTAGGCTGGTTTAAGCTGGATTTTTTAGCAGGGTGTCCTCCAGAAACTGAGATTGTTGTGAATGCGTATCCCATCAGTAAAGTCTGAAATGAACAAAACTTTTGAGTTGTTGTTTACTCCATCGGTCATTATACTTATCAAATTTACTTGCCTTAAAGAGACGTCAGTGTTGTGTAGTTTGTTTATATTAATGTAGTTGTTGTGTTATTTTAGCATTGTGGTGGTTTTTCCTTTCTTCAATAATCGGCAAAGTCTGCTGGTTTTGATTTCTGAAGAGTTCTTTATTGTCGACAACAAAGGAGATTTTTCAGGAGACCCCCAGTAGCATCTCTGCCTGAAAATTCTGTCTCACTGATGTTCTGGCCTGCTTATATACTCTTTTGGAGCTGTTTTTCACATTGTTCTACATTTGTCACACAAGATCCCACCTAGTTTTAACCCCTGTCCCAAACCTGATAACCATATATCTTATCCATTTATACTTAACTGTTTCCACATGTGTTGCTCTATTCTCATCTCTTTTCTTGTGACACCTTAGTTGTTTACTCAGGCCATCTCCCCTTTCTAACTCTACATAGTACCTTAATTCTTCTAATGGTATGTAAGTCCACAAGCAGATTATACACATACAATTCGAATATATAGATTAACTTCACACTTTAAAGAGTATAAAATCCACTTCAGCATCTACATTTACCACAACAGACCAGCTTATATAGGAGAGCGCGGGGCACAAAGTAACGCGGGGTTATATGTAACACGGAGTTTTAAGGTAGGCATATTTGCTCAGGGATAACCATGGCATGCTTCCGAGGTTTTCACCACAGTGTCAGCTGACATCTTCCTGCCCATTATTGAAAAAATTAGCCGAAATTTGGATGAGAAACACAGGAGAAACCATTTTTGCGGCATAAAAGTATTTTTATTATAGTTGATATTTTTTATTTTAAAAAAATCTGTGAAAGTATGTTAGTAAAATCTTATATTGTTGTGATCACTGTCTTCTAGGCTAAAAGATTAAACCATTTTGAAAGATGGAAAACACACACAGTGACTGCGAGGCAGTTTTGAGGAAAACATGGCACAGCGGGGGTTAGTTGTAACAATTAAGCCACACACTGTTGGACATACTAAACTAACACAATATTTTTTTTTATTTTTTAGACCACATTTATGTGCAATGTATATACTGTAAATTTTCTTTTTCTTAAACTCTACTATTTTTATATATATATATATTTTATATTAATGTTAAGCACCTTGGGTCTGAGAGTAACGCAATTTCGATTCTCTATATGTCTTGTACATGTGGCTGAATTGACAATAAAGCTGACTTTGACTTTGACTTTGGCTAATGCTTGAATTTTAAGTGTAATGTTGAGAACTTTTTAAATAAAAAATGTTTTTTTGATAGAAAAAACAATATTTTATTGCTAATAATGCTAATAAATGCATTATATAATAATGAATAAATGGATAATAATGCAAATAGATGCAAATGTGTTTTTCCAATAAACAAATAAATACATAAGCATACTGTGCTATGCAGAAGAGAAAAGAAATGGGCTAACTACTGAGGAAATATAGCTACCATTCATTCATTTATTTATTTTCTTGTCAGCTTAGTCCCTTTATTAATCCGGGGTCGCCACAGCGGAATTAACCACCAACTTATCCAGCAAGTTTTTTACGCAGCGGGTGCCCTTCCAGCCACAACCCATCTGTGGGAAACATCCACACACACACTCACACACACACTACGGACAATTTAGCCTACCCAATTCACCTGTACCGCATGTCTTTGGACTGTGGGGGAAACCAGAGCACCCGGAGGAAACCCACTCGAAGGCAGGGAGAACATGCAATCTCCACACAGAAACGTCAACTGAGCCGAGGTTCGAACCAGCGACACAGTGACCTTCTTGCTGTGAGGCGACAGCACTACCTACTGCACCACTGCCTCGCCTAAATATAGCTACTATTTAAAGTAAACTGAATTTAAATTAATTGTGTGAAATCGGCCTTTAAATGCATGTGTTACAACCAACCCCCTGTCTGTTACAACTTGCCCCGTGGGTGTGGTAAATTGTAACATTTTTACTCCAGGCACTTTTGGCAATACTGCACAGAAACCTCAGGTCCGGCATTCATAATTCCACTGCTCATTTGTAGGAGAGGCTTGTGTGTTATAGGTAAAAAAATATGGTTTGTCTAACCTCATTTCTTTGTTCATTATTTGGCCAAAACCAAAAAGTGTTACTCTGTGCCCCGCTGTCCACTACATTAGTATGGTTCAAATACAATACAGCACTTACTATAACTTATTATAGTATTTATATTATAGTATAGTTAGGTGTGTTGTCTCGTGATATTCATTCATTAATTTTCTTGTCGGCTTAGTCCCTTTATTAATCTGGGGTCACTACAGCCGAATGAACCGCCAACACATTTTTATGCAGTGGATGCTCTTCCAGCCGCAACCCATCTCTGGGAAACATCCACACTCGTTCACACACACTCATTCACTGCGGACAATTTAGCCTACCCAATTCACCTGTACTGCATGTCTTTGGACTGTGGGGGAAACCGGAGCACCCGGAGGAAACCCACGCGAACGCAGGGAGAACATGCAAACTCCATACAGAAAGGCCAACTGAGCCGAGGATCGAACCAGCGACCTTCTTGCTGTGAGGCAACAGCACTACCTACTGCGCCACTGCTTCACCCCTGTCTCATGATATTTGCTTAAATATCTGATAAAACAGTTCTCACCTGTTTGCAATGTATGTTGTTCTTTCGCTATATGTTGTTTTTTCTGGTCCTGTGTTTCAGTGCCACTACTTTTCCTGCATTTTTCCTGCTTTCTCATATTGGTAAAAGAGTTTCTCCTTGATTTTGAATGCATTACCATCATCTCTTCATCATTCCTATCTTCAGGTAGAACTCGAGAGAATCTGTCCTCATATAATTCCATTCTCTCAATTTTAGTCACGTAAGTAACACAGTCCTTCCTTTCAGTCACATTTGTTGTGCTCTTTTCCTTTACACTGTGTATATGAAATGTCTCCTGCACTACTTTCTTCGGCTCTTGCTTCTTTTGCACGGCAGTGTCCTTCTCTCGTTTAATATTTTCTTTCCTGTTCTTCATTGGAGTTTTTAAGCGAATATCAATGTCGTAATGCTGGCCATCATTCTGCTTGAGGATTTCATCAATCTTCTCCAGCAGCTTTCTGATGTGACTTGGAATAATGTCATTTTTACTGTTGATAGCGTGATATTTACCTCCACATTGATTGACTACGTCCTGAAACTTTCTACTTTCCATAAAGAGCTTCCATTTTCTGTTTGTTAATTTCTCTCTTCCGGTAAACAGCACCATTGTGAACTTCATGGCTTGAGGACCAAAGCTCTCCAGGATTTCCTGCACAATGTTCCTGTGGTCGTCAGTCAAGTTCTCCAGATTGATGATGAGCAGAAACACATGAGGTCCAGGATAGCAGAGATAAAGACTCTTCATCATTTCATTCTGCAGCTCTTCATCAGTCAGGTGAGTGTTGAAGAATCCTGGAGTGTCGATGATGGAGATGTTTCTGTCTTCTACTCTTCCTCTCTGCATCTCACTCTCTCTCGTTCCGCTCTCTTTAAACACCTCTGCACCCAGTATTGCATTCCCCATTGAACTCTTTCCAGCTCCAGAAGCTCCCAGGAGCACAATCCTCACATCATGTGTACTACCTGTCAAACAGATCACATCATTAGCTCAGGAAAAGGTGACTAAACTAACTAGAAAATGACTAAATAAAACAAGTTAACCTGGTAAATTAGTAAAAAACAACCCATACAGAAATATAAACAATATATTTGAACATATATGTACGTATCTTTATTTATTTATATATATATATATATATATATATATATATATATATATATATATATATATATATATATATATATATATATATATATATATATATATATATATATATATATATATATATATATATTTTTTTTTTTTTTTTTTTTTTATTTATATATATATATATATATATATATATATATATATATATA